CAGTAGGAACGGCCAGTCCCCACCGTTGTTGCTCGGGCCGTAACTTCCCGCCGCCCGCTCTCACTTCCAAACCCATTTTCCATTTTCCTGCTTGGTTGCTTTGAAATCCATTTTGGTGTTAAATCTTTCTCATGGCGAGAACTTTGTGCAAAGCAAAGGTGCCCACGGCTTTAAGGCACTCGACAACCAGTCGTTCCAAACCAATCGGGAGACTGCACAGGGAAGACCAGTGGAAGGTAAGGATCTAAAGAACTTTTGTAAGCCTGGCTTGAATGCTTGGATCCATTGTTCATTCTCTGATTAGATAGTCGCGCCTACATATGCACTGATGGCTGATGAGCTGCTGCCTACCGGTACGTAAATCTGCTGATGAGCTGCTGATCAAGCAGAACAGATCTCGTATGATATACCGAATCTCCACAATGGACATCACGAGGATCACGAGCTACGATCTGAATCTACCGATACACAGGCCGCTCCGTGCGGTACCGGTACATTCTTGTCCAAAACTCTTTCTACTATGACAAGGATTATTCGATTCGATTCCTTTCACACCCTCCAGGATGAAAGGAAAGCGAAGGCGCTGATGACTCAATAGGATCTTCCCCATCTCCCATTGTTCATCTCAACGAGTCTGCTTTCGGCTCGAAGGAACGAAAATGAAACATCCCTGACCGCGGAGAGTTGTGCCAGCGACACTCCAATCCTTCCAGTAGCGGACCATTCCACCATTTCTCCTTCTTTGCTTCTCAAATAAGTCGTCGACGCGGAGCTGGAGCTGCCACCTTGTCCCTTGACAAACATTATTTGCTCCTCCTCCACCGTCGAGGTTGCGTTTTGACCAACCCCCGCCACGGCAATTTCTTCGTCTCCATCGTTGGATTCCACCGTGGCATCAAAGTGCAACAAGAGATCCTCCAAAGGAACTTGGGCAGCCAGGATCAGCCGAGTCCTGCTTTCGTAAATTGCATCGACTAAAGTTACGAACCGACGGGCCTCGTTGAATCGAGACGCATTGAGTTGCGGTACGTGGTCCACAATCAAGACGGGGAATCGTTCACAAATGGCCAAATAGTCCGCCGCACCCAAGGGCGCCCCGCACAAATCCTCAAAGTCAAACCAGGCACAGGCATTGTTGGATTTGGGGACGCGAACGTGACGACCCATTCGAACGGGCAGGGTGATGTCTTCATCGTGTACTCGTACTATTCCATCGTGACTGTCTGCGGCGGCAGCAAAGACATCTTGCAGTGCTTGACGAGTCTCCGAGCTTGTAGCGGGCCAAAAGAATGATTGTTGAGTATCATTCGATTGGTGATTATTGTTGTCGCGTCGATAATCGTTGCTGCCGTGCATTTCCACCACATCCATGTGCCGTTTGAGAGTTTCAATAAACGGCAGAAAGAGAGCACGGTTCAATCCACCCTCGTAGAGAGCTTCAGGAGCCCGGTTGGAGGTGGCGACGACCACCATGCCGATATCTCTTCTTTCAAAGAAATTCCAGTTGTTGCTCTCCATCCACAGCATTCCAAAGAGTCTTTGGAGAATCATAGCATCGGCAATATCCGTGACTTGAAATTCATCCAAACACAATATCCTGGCTTCTTTAGCCAACGACAGGGCCACAGAGGGCAGAGGATCTTCCTTGGGTCGAATTTGTTTGTGTTTGTGAATGCGATCATGGACATCCAACATGAACTCGTGGAAATGTGATCTACGGATCTTTCGTCGTTGACAACAAGTTCTCTTTTCATGGTTGTCGCGCAACAGCTCACTGGCCAATAGATCCATCAAGAATGATTTTCCAACGCCGACAGAGCCATGGATATAGACACCTTTGGGCGATTCTCTCGTCCGCGAAAACCAAATCTGGCTCTGAATCAGCTTCTGAGCTCTTGCAAGCAACCCTTTGGGTTTAGCATCCCAAAACATGTCCACAACCAGCTGATGATCTGGGATCACTCGACTATCCGTTTTGGCCACGGCAGTGCGCAAGTCATCCAGTTTTCGTGCCAAATCCAACTGCTCTCTGTCCTGCCGTAGCTTTCCTTGCTCCATTTGCTTCTTGACAAACGACGTGATGGGTCGTAGATCAGCACTCATATCATTATCTTGGTCTCCACTGTCTCCTACTACTGGATTGGTTGGTCTACCTTGTGCCGATGACAGCGGACGCACAGCATTTCTTCGAAGGTGTCTGCTTGGAAGGAGTGCATTTCGATGGAGCCAACGGCGAGAGCCACGACAAAGATCCTTCTTGCAGATCTCCACTAACAAACCGACTTGAGGGGTAACACGGCTGCGCATTGTCAATGCTCTCAAATGCTTATTGTGCTCTCTCCGTATACACTGTGCGCAACCAGAACAGGTTCCGCTCCGCTACATGCATTTGTACATGTACCGCACCACAGTACCAGAAAAATGAGGCTGACGTCACACCGGTACTGGTATGTACATTTTAAGTCACGAGTACTGTACGAACTCAAGATAAGAAAAAGCTGAAGCGAAAGAGTTGCCGCCCCCGACTTGTTTTGGCTGTCATAAAAGCTGAAAGCCATGGCCAATGCTAGAATGGTCAAGCAAGAATCTGGCTGGCTAGCTAGCCGCGTTGTACGGGTAGCCATTGGCGTGCATGCGATGGTCTTTTCTCTGATGGAGAGATGGAGAATCATCAGAGCTGTGACCTGATTGGGGCGGGTCCTCAATCCTCCGAGGCAGTGGCTGAGCTCCTAGCTAGCTAGCTAGCAGGTTTAGCTTGCGTAACTAATTGAAACAATCGAATCTGACCAGGGTAGCTATCAATCGTGCTACGAATGAATCGAATCGACTTGTTCGTAATGAAGCAAGGCCCATTCAACAAGCTCTGTCAACTGGCAGGATTTCTCGGATGACGACAGCTGTACGATTGTAGCTAGAGCAGCTGCTAGAGTTTGTTTCCCGCTTGATTGCTGTTGCTCGGAAAGCGGAACGAGGGCTGTCTATCGGATTGCCTGCTACCGGTACATTGCTGCAATCGCCCTTTCCAGCTTTCCAGGCAATCCCAGGGCAGTACATGTATGTATGTATCCCCAAGCTGGCCCACCTGTCCTACTTGCTGCTACCTTTCCCAAATATACGAAGTGGCCAGTCTGCGGGACGGAATGGATGACAGCACATGGGTCATTTCGTGCGACCCTTGGGCGTTCTTGATATTTTTGCTGACTTCATTCGCGTCAAATGTCCCAGTCGAAGGTCACGGTTTCCCCGAGCTCCTGTGACTGGATCAGATCGACCCTTTTGCATGCCAATTTTGTTACCAGTCTTGCGCAGTTTGTACCGGTGGAAGTGGCGTGGGTGCAAGATACGTCTCCCCCTTGGCACAGCACCCTGGTGGTACCAGTCCACCAGTCCGGCAGTCACGGGTTGCAGCGACCCTCCCAAGAATGCAAAGAACAGCTTGCTTGGCATTATGCCCAATACGCATTCTCTGCATCTCACTTTTCCCATTATCATCTGGTACAAAACTCAAATAACATCGCACACAAGAAAAGAAACCAACCTCATTCTTATTCTAAAGAAGCTTTCAACCATGGGCGGATCCAACCACAATCAGAATCTCAACGGCAAGGCATCGGGAGCTTCCTCCGTGTTTTGCAAGCGAAAGCCAGCGTTCAAGATCCGAGTGGACGGTCTCAAGAAGCGTGGGATTCCCTCCAACAGCAGCAGTAGTACTTCCGCCAAGCCCAAGAAGAGCGTCCGTATCGCCGAGAACCGAAACACGGTCCTCTTTCGTCATGTACTCGAGAGTGAGCTCAAGCAGACATGGTACGAGACCAAGGACTATTGCGACTTTAAACGAGACAGCAAGGGGACATTGAATGCCTTGCACATGGCTCAGGGACAGCTCTGCTTGCTGAATCCCCAACAACACTGTATTCGCGGATTGGAAGCTCATGTATCAGCGCACATCTTGGCGTTGCGCAAGACACGGATCCGATCCAGCGTACAGGTCGTCCTCGATCAACAGAATGTGCAACGATATCATGGAGTGAAGGATCCCAACGTGGTTGCTGCTGTTTCCAGAATGTTCTCCAAACAATCACGGCAACATGCATTATCCATGGGGGCTCTAGATACCACCCTACGAGGATATTGATTGAACACAACAAAACCAACCACAACCATCAGGAAACCAAGAGCAAAAGGAAAAAGAAGCACTGCAGCGAATCGAATCGTCACTCCACAGGCGACACTTCTAAAACCCAAGAAGGCCACAGGAAGCGGATCAAATGGTTCTGTGTACTACGAACCAACAAGCCGTTCGGGCAAGCTTGTCAAATCGAGTCCACCTATTGTTGATGGCCTGGCTGAGGGTTCCTATCCCCGGCCTACAGACGAGCGCTGTAGCTTTTAAAATGCAAACAATAACTTCCGACATTAATGAATTACATAGAAATCACTCAAATCAATTTTTCTCGTATTACGACATGTATGGTTGTAACACAGCTGTATTATAGCAGCTCTCTACACACCGGTATTGTTTCAAATATTTCGTCGTCGTCGTGCTTCGTCTTGCTAGTAGCTACGGTAGCTGCACCCTATTCCTCTGGTGGGTGCAACAGCAAAAACTTGCAATTGGCCTGCAGCGACTGCAGCGGACAAAGGCACACCCAAACCCACTCATGGTGCCCAGTGAGGGCGGTCTGCAAGACTCACTTGCCAATCCATGCAAAGCGCTGTCAGTGTATCTTGCCAGGTTGGGCAGGAAAGCAACATTTGCTTCCGTGTACTGTTCCGTACAGGTAGGTTGTCGTCTGATAGATTGATTTCGGGACAGGAATCGAATCAATCGTTCAGGAACGTTCGGGTGGGAACTGGCAAACTACCGGCTCTTGCATCAAATAAATCGAATGCCAATATCAAACGGATAGCGTTGGTGTCGACTCGAAACCAGCTAGTAGCTAGCTAGTCAACAGCTACATAGCTAGCTAACTAGTACTTGTAGGTTGAGACATCCGTGTATTCGATGCGTTGGCCACTCTCGAAATCTTGGTCCAGTAAACGACGGACTAGTTCGTCTGCAGTTTCGTTGGGATCCACCAGCTTTTGATCTGTCTCGAGGCTCTGACAGTACGCTTGCACATGAGAGTCTAGAGAATCATGGGTACGCAAGAAGGATTGCATATCCGTGTCGCAGGACCCCGGAGCGTAATTGAGGACTCGCAGATTGTTGTTATCGTCATCTTGGGCCAGCACTTGATGAAAGATATCTCGCCCGGCACTGGTGGCACAATAGAGGGCCATGGTAGGAGTAGCCTTGATGGAACACATGGAGCTGATATTGGCAATGGTGGTTGTCGCACAGACAGGGCTGTAGGTTTGGGCAAACCGAGAGGATACCCACAATTTCGACACCAGATTCAGTCGGGTAGCTTTTTCAATCTCGGTCAAGGTCAAGTGGGATGTTGGCCCGACGGTTCCGGTAGTACCCGCACAGTTGATGAGTAGAGCATGAGTCGCAGAGGACGGTGGAAATTGTGTCCAAATATCCTGAAACTTTGGCTCGAGCGTGTTCAAATCGGCCAGATCCAGTCGGCGCTGACAAATTTGCAGAGCATTGTGTTCTTGCACCATGAGATTCTCCGTGTCATCCATGCAAGATCGAGCCATGAGGACCGCTTGTGCCTTGGTAATTTTCTTCTTTTGGAATGCCTTGGCAAACGATACGGCAATCGCCTTTCCCAATCCCTTGGAAGCACCGGTGGCAAACAGCAAAACAGGCGACGCGGAGGACGCCAAGATGGACATGGTTTCCTTGGCTGAAAGGGGTCAAGAGGAAGAGACAGACACGCACAGCACTAGCTAGAGCAGATCCCGTTGAGCAACACGCCAATGCTCCATGGCATTCGACATTTGTTGCCGATGTGCAACCCGAAGATCCAAACAACCCATTCATATGCCCACTGGGTCGTCTCCGTTTCCAGAAATAAGGTTGAGGATTACCGGTACCAGAAATGAAACAGTATTCGCGCGCTCCGCGCGCTCATCCCTTTCTTTTTGCTTCGCCCCGAAACCGAAACCGAAACCGCTTCCTTGCTCGAGCTCATTCATGCAAAACTTGTGTGAAAAGCGAGGCGACTTTCATGTGCATGTACATGCGTTGACTGTATCCCGTCAATACAATACTAGTCAAATACGTAGACTTCTACAGAGGCCTCTAAGTATTGCACGCCGGGTATAATTCAAACCTCTGCCCCCAAGAGTACCCTTACCCCTAAAGCAAGTCGTCTCCGGGAGACGAAATTTCTCTATTTTCACCTTAACGCTAAGTTAGTCTTTAACCCTACGCATGAAACCAAAAGATCTTCGATCCCCGATCTTCTCTTTTCTCCCGTTGTCTTTTCTCGAGCCAAACCCTTGTTGCACAGTAGAGATCTTATCAAACTAATAACCTAACAGCAATCTCTCTTTCAGGTTCTCACTATCACCACCCACCATGACAACAACGTCCTCTTCTACTAGTATCGACAAGACCCAGAAGGTATCTCTCCAGGTGCCGACGACGACTGATGTTCCTCCCTTTTTTGCGGGTCTTCACACGTCCTATATTGCCGGTTTGGCGGAAAAGCTGGATGCCAAGACGAGCTACGAAGGAGCCGTGACGGAGCATTTGCGCATGAGTGGCGTGTACTGGTCTTTAACGGCCTTGTCACTGTTGAAGTCTCCGGAAGAAGTGGATGTCATTATGGGCTTGACGGCTCCCACGGCGGGTCGTCCCATATCGATTGTCGATTGGGTCTTGCAATGTTACGACAACCGCAGTGGAGGATTTGGTGGCAATATTGGTCATGATGGTCATTTGTTGTACACGCTGAGTGCGATTCAAATACTGGCATTGGCCGATCGATTGCAAGACGAGCGATTTCTAAACCTGAAAGAGTCTGTCATTGATTTTGTGGCCGCACGACAACAACCCACCGATGGATCCTTTACGGGAGATGAATGGGGAGAAATTGATACGCGATTCACATACTGTGCGCTATCCAGTCTCTCCATTTTGAAAGCACTCGATCGCGTCAATGTGACCCAAGCGGCGGACTTTATTTTGTCGTGTCGCAATTTTGATGGAGGTTTTGGATGTACGATTGGTGCCGAGTCCCATGCCGGACAAGTATTCACGTGTGTGGGAGCACTTTCCATTGCCAAATCGTTGCATAAGTTGGACGCCGACTTGCTAGGGTGGTGGCTCGCCGAACGACAATGCGACTCGGGAGGTCTCAATGGTCGGCCCGAAAAACAAGCCGATGTTTGCTACTCCTGGTGGATTCTATCCGTCTTGAGCATTACCGGACGAGTGTCCTGGATCAATCGCGACAAACTGGCCACTTTTATCCTCAAATGCCAAGATGACGAGGATGGAGGGATTGCCGATCGACCTGATGACATGGCCGATATCTTTCATACTTTTTTTGGAATATCGGGTTTGAGTTTGTTGGGACATTTGCATGCTGCTATCCCAGAGTGTGCGCCATTTCGACAAATTGATCCGGTCTATGCACTTCCTACGGATGTGGTGCAGAAATTAGGGCTGCAGGGACAAATCATGGTGGCGCAAGAGGGAGATTCCGTTGAGGAGCGTCTTCAACAGTATGATACTCTGACGTCGCAGCACAAACTCTTTCAATAGGCTTTGATAAACTACTGGATAGCTAGAACGGTTTGATTAGAAACCAAAACCAAACAGAGTGATAGTCATGTAGCTCTGTTGGCAAGCCGACTGGCGAGTATTCGTTCCGCTATTCCACGTAAAATAGTGACCTCTTGCAGCACTGGAGGTTCGAATAGCTATGGCGAAGTGAAGCTATTGTTACAGCAATCCAAGACTGCAACTGACACAACGACATAAGACATCTAGCTTGTTTACATTCCCAACGATCCAGCACTCTGCTGTGCCATGTCCATTGCTACGGCGGCCTGAGGCAGTAGACTAATGCCACCATGGAGAATAGCGTCTTGTGCAAGGTACGCGGCAATGCCGGCAAAGTATCCTACTGCAGCTCCAATGCTGACCTTCTTGGCGTACCACAAAAAGTCAACTTTTTCCAATCCCATCAGAGCCACACCCGAAGCTGACCCAATCACCAGAATTGATCCTCCAGTACCAGCGCAGAGGGCAATCAACTGCCACAGGCGATCGTCCGTTCCATAATCTGCCAAGTCATACATGCCCATTGTCGCAGCGACAAGTGGGACATTGTCAATCAAGGCAGAAGCAATACCAATCACTGTTGCAATAATATCCAAACTGGGAAGGTTGTCGCTCAAAAAGACCGCCAGCTCTTTCAACAGACCACTCTTGTCGAGCACACCAATACTCATGAGAATGCCCAAGAAAAAGAGAATTCCGGAAGTATCCAAACGGGCCAAAGCTGCTGGGACTTGTAAGCCTTCGCCCTCCTTTTCGTCGCCCATGTGCATCACGTCAGTGAGGGTCCACATGGCACCCAAACCAGTCAACATGGCCAAGTAGGGTGGAAGGCCCGTGAGCTCGGCAAAGACGGGAACGGAAAGAAGCGATGCAATGCCGGACCAGAACACAAGCTTGCCGCGAGGTGCCAAAGGTGTTTCGTCTCCAATGCTGGAGCCCTCTAGAGATCCGTCTTCTTCAATTTGTTGGACCAAGAATGCCAAGGATCCAATCAGACACACCACGGACGGAATGAAGAGCTCCAAAACGGTGGGAACTGTTGACAACTGATCATTGATCCAGAGCATCGTTGTAGTGACATCTCCAATCGGAGTCCATACTCCGCCCGCATTGGCTGCCACGACCACCATGGCACCAAACAACTTGCGATCTTCTTCCACAGGGACCAACTTTCGCAGCAACGAACACATGACAATGGTCACGGTCAGGTTATTCAGAATTGCAGACAAGAAGAATGTCAAGATGCCGATAGTCCAAAACAGTTGCTTCTTGGACGTGGTTTTGATTTGGCTGGTGACCACTTTGAATCCTTCGTGAAGATCTACTACTTCAACGATGGTAGATGCAGCCAAGAGGAAGAAGCAAATGTCTGAGACCTCTGCCAACTGTTCTCCCAGTTGCTGCACAACTTCAGCAGAAGCACTTCCGTCACTGTTAAAGTAGTCCGCGTAAGTGACCCACAATCCAGTACTCATCAAAAGGGCCACGGCTGCTTTGTTGAATTCAAAGACTTCTTCAAAAATGATACCAATGTATCCCAAGACAAAGATTCCAATCATGGCAGCACTTGCGTTATCGTGAAGCCACTGTGATTGCGAAAAGAAGGCTGCCAAGGAGACCGCTCCCAGAATACTAGCCCCCAAACCAATGACATCCCTACGGGCAGTTTCTTCATTGTTGGCATTATCGTTTGCCTCGGATTTGAGTTCTGCATACATTTGTTCCACGGGGGTCAACCCCGGGTACTTTTGTGCCAGGGTAGTCATACTCAATCGTTCATCTTTGTGGATGAGGGACATGACATCCTGCATACAAATGACACCTTCAATCATGCTCTCATCGAGTAGTTTCTTGTCACTGGATACCTTATCAGCCACAATCAAATGTCGAATACCTGATGCTTTCATTGCCGAAATGGCAACATTGGCGGTATCTTCCGGACTGATGGACATTAAGTCTGCTGTAGGAGTGACAAAATCCTTAACTTTGGACACTAGAAAAGTTGCTGCTTGTTCTTCATCTTGGGCCTGCTCTGCTCGGGCTGTGGAAAACTGAAATAATGTAGGAAGAAAATGGGCAGAAAGAGTGATGAGCAATGTATCCAACAAAAACAGCGGTTCAGAACCCTTTTTTGCACTGCAACTGCTTCTCCAAAGTAAATGGTTGATTGGCCAACTGACAAACTGACAAAATAGCTAACTCACCTTGATAAAATCTGCTTCTGTAAAGAGTCCCACAATTTTACCAGTTTCATCGTCAAACACCAGTGCCACATCACTGCAGCCTTGCTCTCCATCACTAATCACCTGGATGACACTCATAATATCTTCGGTGCTGGAAGCTCGATAATACCCCGGTCCTGATTTTTGGCTGAGAATGCGCTTGGCAGGTGCCGTGAATCCATATCCCTCTGGTGTGATCATGGTTTCTTTCTTGAGTGGTACCAATCCTTGGGGATTAAATTCTTCCGTGGCTCCACCCACATACAATCGTTGTGTCTTGAATAGGCGAGCAGCATTGGAAGGTACAAATTGCCTGTTTCTGCTGCTGATGAGTAGTGGTGTAATAGTATTTGGTCTCGTCGTCGTAAAGGCAGATGACACTGCAGCAGACGACAGGGCTGCCACAAGAGCCAACTCCAAGGATAATCTCATGATGATGGAGTAAAATTTAAAAGTCTCTTCTTTCTGGAGGAAATTATGGGGATCACTACACAAAGCCCGTTACTCTACGGACAAAGGATTTTTGGTGATGGAGCTTTGATGGATACTCGATGATGTGATGAGTGAGAGTGAACAGCCGATGCAAGGGCATGCAGCTGGGAAGAATGCTCTGATGACCTCATTGTGATGCAGCATGCAAACGGATGTGCGGATCGGAGGGTACCGTTAGCACCAAAGATACCCTTTGAGACATGCGAAGCCCAATCTTCGTTTATGGTACAGTTTCTACACCAACTAAAGTCTCACATTTGCTCCAAAATCCGCGAACACGTCACTCGTGAAAGCTGATGTCTTGCAACCCAAATCCACGAAGTCACTGCGACCGACGTCTCTGGTTTGCATCGGCCATCACACACATCACCACGGGGCCAGCACCACTCCAATAAAAGCTAAAAGCTAGGACACGTACTGAGCTATCTCTGCGCTGATCGCCATCATCTGTCGTCGCTCTCCCTTTTGCCATCATCCTTATCTTAATTAATTTGTGTCCAGCCAGCAAGCAAAAAAGGAACCGAATCTCTCGTTTAATAAAAAACCAACGGAGTGGATTCAATCATTCATTCATTCATCCCTGAGCTTTGCATAATTTTCTTGGCTTGCTCCTAATAAACTGTACCCATATCTTATTCATTTTGTACAACAAACACCATGAAGTTCTCAGCACAATCGGTAGTTTTCCTCCTGTCCCTTGGCCAGGCCGTGGCCTTTGCACCTACCACCACCAGCAGCAGTCATGCAAGATCATCATCATCATCATCTACCCAACTGCACATGGCCGCCGCCAAGGACGACAGTCAACGAGTCGTTGTCACTGGATTGGGTGTGATTAGTGGTTGTGGTCTAGGACACGAAGATTTCTTCCAAGCCTGTTTGGATGGCAAATCCTCGGTGGGACCCGTCACTCGATTCGATGCTACCCACTATCCCTGCACCATTGGCAGTGAAGTCCCGGATGACATGTTCGACCCCAAGGACTTTTTCACCAACCCCAAAAATGTTAAATCCAATGATCGATTCACACATTTTGCCGTTGCAGCCGCACGACAGGCATTGCAAGATGGAGGATTGGGAGATACACCGGACAAACTAGAAAATCCCGAACGAATTGGGGTCATGGTGGGATCCGCTTTTGGAGGAATGGAAACATTTGAAAAGGAAACACTCAAGTTGGCCAAGAAACCGGAACGTCCCAAGGTAAGCAGAAGAGAGGAATATTGGTAGAAGGAAGGAAGGAAGGAATTTTCTTTTTGCTGTTTCTTGGATCTAACGTATGCAATGCAATGCTCCTTTTTCAGGTTTCTCCTTTTACAATTCCCGCACTTTTGGGAAACACAGCTTCTGGAGTGATTGGAATTGAATGTGGTTGTCAAGGACCCAACTACGGACTTGTCTCGGCATGTGCCAGTGGAAGCCACACCATTGGTGAAGCCATGGGAATGATCGCCGATGGACAAGCCGATCAAATGTTGGCTGGAGGTACCGAAGCCACCATCACTCCTCTTTCTTACGCTGGATTCTGCGCCATGAAGGCCATGAACACCAACTACAATGACAACCCCACGGCAGGATCTCGTCCCTTTGATGCCGGCCGTGGTGGATTCATCATGGGAGAAGGTGCTGGAGTTGTCCTGCTCGAGAGTCTCGCATCCGCAAAGAAACGTGGGGCCAAGATCTACTGCGAGTTGGTCGGATACGGAGCTACCTGCGATGCTCACCACATTACCACACCTGCTCCCGAAGGACGTGGTCTTGCCAAGGCAATGAACATTGCCCTGGACATGAGTGGAATGGACAAGGAACATGTAAGCTACATTAACGCTCACGGAACTTCCACAGCCTACAATGACAAGTTCGAGACCATGGCCATCAAGACTGTCTTTGGAGATCACGCCACCAAGAAGGATGGTAATTTCGTTGTTTCCTCGACCAAGTGTGTTACCGGCCACACCCTGGGCGCTGCTGGAGGTCTGGAGGCGGTCGTGGCGGCAAAGTCCATCTACCACGATGTCGTCCCACCAACAATTAACTACGATACTCCCGACCCAGAGTGCGACCTTGATTATGTGCCAAACGAAAAGAGAGAGATGACTGTCACAGCTGCAATGAGTACCAACTTGGGTTTTGGGGGTCATAATGCTGCAATCCTGTTTAAAAAGTATGAAGAGTAAATCTCATACCTTGCTTTACCCTGGATGACGTTTTCCTCTATCCTTGCACTGCTTTACGCCCTGTTCGCACCGCACTCTCAACTAGATAAACCATTCTGAACATAATCAATCCATCGCTACCTCTTCCTTCCTTGGCAACTCTACTGTACCGCACCCATGGCAGTAGCCTAACATTTGTAGCTGTATGAGAGGCGACACACACGCAAGATTTCAATTCGTCAAATCAAAAAGGTACGGTTCTGTTGCTCTGCTTGCTTGTGCTCTACCGGTGGAGCGGAGGAGCAGTCTAAACCCTCTTGCGACCATCTTTTTTCATCTTCAATGTGCTAAAGGCATGTAAGGTAGTAAAGATTTGCGAGTCAGCTAGATTTTTTCTTGGGTGCTTGGATGGAAGTTCGTACCAGAAACTGATTACTATTACTTAGTCCATTGCTGGTGGAGTAGCGTCCAAGTGCTTTAGCTGGTGTTTTGAATGTTTCGAAGAAAATGTCGACGACGAGCTCTTCTTGTTTCGCCGTCGTTTCGATCCCTCCTTCTTTGATGCGGGATCACGTTTCTTTTTCGCCCCTTTGTCTCGCTTCACGTCACGTCTTCGGTACCTAGCGCGTCCTCGGGATCGTTCCTTCTTTCCAGATGGTGGATCCTCAGGCTGGGTGACAACAGCACCTTCCATGGCGTTGAGGTATTGGCGGTGATGGCTTCTCCAGCATGGTCGTTGCCTCGATTCGGTTTCCAGCACTTTGTCAAACAGGTCCCACGAAACTAGACCATGCCTCAATTCCCAGTTTCGCACAACGACCCCGTAAAAGATTAGATTGAACATCATCAGCACCGAGAAGATGTGCAGCACCACAGCCTGGTTCATATCTCGAAAGACGGTGGAATACAAAACGCCACCCCAAAAGTCACCCTTGGCAATCGTTGATAGGTACGCCGCCATGACGAAAGACTTGAGCCGGTCTGGCGACACACTGTATGCAAATTCCAGTCCTACACCGGCAAACACATTGTTTTGTGTCAGTTAGAGCTCCATGTCTTTAGTCAGTTGGAAGCGCAAAAGTGATCCTGCACAGTAGGCACTTACCTGTTACGGAGATGAAGATTTCGGCCACGGTCATCAGGCAGATCTGAGGAATCTGCCATGCAACCGAGATTGGAGATAACCCGTTCTGAATCCGGTAGTCGATCACATATTCCACAATTCCACTGATGTAGAACGCAGAGGAAACCAAGACCATGCCCCACCCCATTCTGCGGAGCGGTGAAATGTCGATTTCTCTCTTTTGCAATGCTGGGTACACAACCCTGTCGAATACCGGGATCAACACAAATAGCCCGATAGGATTCAAAACGTTGATTTGTTCAGGTTGAATGACTCCGTACAGATTCATGCGGCTGGCCTGCAGTGTCCACACAGACCCTTGCTGATCATAGAGCATCCAAAAGCAAGGCAACATGGCAAAGACAGGTAGAACATTCAGAGCTCGCGCCGCGTCACTCAGTTGTTGAGCGAGATATCGGTCGCTGGTTTGCAATGAAGCAGCTGAGATGGAACGACTGCGAGGAGACGGATCAGTCGCATGTTTCCTGCTCCGAGACCTCCGTCGAGAACTTGACTTCATTCGACTCGATGAGGTCTGGCTGGGACTCCGACTGGGGACTTCCAACCCATTCCCCACGTTGTTGTTCCTGTTGTTTCGATTGGCATTGCGGAGCGGATGATCCGAGGGCATGTCTTCTGTGTTTAACGTTCTTCGAGATTCTGGGCTACTTCGAGACCGACTGCGGCTTCGGTTGCGAGTGCGGCTCAGACTGCGTCCAATACTCCTACTCAAGCTGCGCATGGTGCTCATAGACACCGAAGATACAGAAGCATGGTCTTCGTCATTCCCCATGGCGACACTTAGGCCTTCCATGCCTGGCATGTCGGCTCTCTGAGGTAAGACACTGGGAAGTGGAACCGGCCCTGGTTCCAAACTTGGGAAGTTTCGGGAGATGAACTTGTTTGCCCACAGATTGTTGTGCAACAACCACAGGCACAATCGAAAGGTTGTGTATAGTGAGGACCCATGCGGATTGTGCGGTCGAATGACATAGTTGTGTCGCTGGGAGGTGAAGACCAGAATTGCAAAGCACATAAAGACTGTGGGGACTAGGAAGGCGGCCCCAAAGCCGAGCGATCCTTTGATAGTCGGGATAATAACAAAGGAAGCGACGGCTCCCAGATTGATACACATGCTAAAGAAGGAAAAGAAGGTTCGAACCTTTTCTTGCTCTTCTGGGTCCATTGTGGTGGAGGTGGTAGATGTCAGGGTGGCATCCGATGGACGCGAGACATCGTTGATTGCATCTGTCTTTTTGTCTGGATCTTTCTTAGTTTGGACTTGATCCGCTCCAAAGATTGATACGCACGGTTTGATGCCGCCTGTTCCTGTACAAATCAGGGCAAGTCCACAAACGGTCACAATTCGTTTGACGCGCAGCTGGGCTACCGTGTGATTGCTCAAGAAAGCGGCATGTGTCAAGACGATCAACCCCAGCCAGTAGACGAACCCAAACGCCACAATCGTCTGAAATCGCCCCAGCTTGCCATCGCCCAAGACGGCTCCAAAGATGGGGGTAAAATTGGCCACGTAGGAAGCGAAAGCGAAGAGACTAATGGCTGTCGTGTCGTCCATTTTGAGTTCCTGAGTAAAGTACAGCACCAAAGATGCCCGAAAACCGTAGAAGGCAAATCGTTCGGCCGCTTCCGTTATGAGGATGCACAGCACTACAGGATTCATGCCCTGCAAGGAGGACGAAAACAGAAGGTCCCTGGCCACTTTCAGGCTCTCGATAATCTTGCTTTCGATCAAGTTGACTCGCTTCAAAGTTCTCTTCTTCTTCCCGGCGTTTAGAGCTTCCTGTGGATTGGTGGAACCATCAGCAAGTTCAACATCCTGCAAACTTGTTGTAGTGCTGGAACTTATAACACTGTTTGTGCTCGTAACGCTGTGCATGCTCTCATTGCTCATCTCCTCGTCATGATGGCTGTCATGATGGGTCAGGTTCCCACGAGGGCTCATTGTGATCCCGGTGCCTGATCCTTTAAGCTACCGTCCACTGCTGTCTAGAAAGACATGCACAATGACCTGTCTAGCTAGGTCTGATTGTTGAAAATGTGAAGATATGGAAGATTTGGAAGAGCTGCATGTCTCTCTTCTCCATATAGTTTCGCAAACCACTTCCGTTCTGGAAGGAGGTCAGGTTAACCAGAGAAAAGTGAGAAAGTGGGAGGGTGCAGTACTAGTAGGGAGAACCCGAAGCTTTATCATTTTTATGGCGGTACTCAAAAAGCAAATGAAGCCATCACCCCATCTGGCAAAAAAATCTTTGCGAGTCATCTAGATATTTTTGGCATCTGGCAAAGAGTGCCTAGAGTTATCCCAAGCTCGGCCAGTTTCTTTCTTGGCATTGGCCCCGTTTAAATAACACGCTAGTCCAAAGCTGATCAATCCGGTTGGGCCTACCTGGCAGTTGCCTGTCCGATCTACCCTTACAGTAGTTCGCTCCCGAGTGAGATTGCCTGCTGCGTGTGTTTCCTTTGCTTCCGTAGGGCATGCAGGTAGCTACTGAAGAGACACCGTGCCTGGTACCGTATCAGGTTTGGCCACCGCTACAGCAGTTTTTCTGCAGCAGCAGATTGCGAGCTGTTGTCTTAACAGAGGGTTGACGGCGACCGAACTGAACGTTGGAACGCCGTTTCAGCACAAGCACCATCCAACCACCGAGCTGTCGTCTTCCAAAGGGTTGGCGGTGCCCGAGTTGAACGCTGGAACGTTCCAGCACAAGCACCACCCGAGCTGAACGCTGGAACGTTTCAGCACAAGCACCACCCAACCAAACCATCAAGGATAAAGCAGACTACTACCGTTACTTCGCTACTGGCGAGCTACCGCACCGGTAAGACTTCGGGTCGAGTGGGTCGAGTCGAGTCGGGCTTCTTTCTCATCTGTGACTCAAGGACTTTGAAACAAAAAATCTGTGGTGTTCCAAAGCTCATAAAAACTCACAACGACAAAAACATCTATAACCAGCAACCATCATGCCCCCCAATCAACAGCAGCAACCACGTCCTGCACCCAAGCCAATTAGGAAGCTTCTTCTGAGAAAAATTGGTAGAGGGGTTGACAGGGTCTCCATCGCTCTAACGGACCTTCATTTCATATTCATGACCTGCTAGTAGAGAGGTAGGCGTGCAACAGGAAGAGTGTCGAGCAACGAACATCGCATGCAGATTGCCACTCGGATTGAACCAAATCGCATTGGTGTTGAATCACTATCTCGTTGTGCCTTTACTCCAACCCTTTCTTCCCTTGCTGACGGAGCCAATCCGGCTATAATCTTCCTTCCACCAACTCCATTCACACTGAAAAGCCAAGGAACGCTTGTACATGTAACATAGTTTGTAAGAATAGCCAGAGTTTCATTGGAATTTGCGCTTGTCCAGCATCCCCAGGTTTCTCTGGGTTGCTTGCTGGGAACATAATGTGAAGTTCCGTGGAAGTGCGGCAACTCGCGTGACCTTACACAATACTGAAACCGACAAGAAAGCTCTGTGATCCAGACAAGCAACGTTGATCGTTGCGCGGCAGAAGACAAGCTTTTTTTTTCAAGGACTGCAAGGTGATGCATTGTTTTGTCTCTGCGAGGAACCAGGAATGTTTCGAGGGGCGAGTCGAGTTAGGTGTTCTTCCATACTGAATGAAGACTTGGCAAACAGCCCGCAAATCGGGGCAAGAACAGTCCATGTACACTGAGCAGTCAGCATCGCAATGACTTCCACAAACAAGCCGCCGGCATTCTTGCCACATCCAAGATTGGAACAAACTCAAAGTACTTGCTGCGCGATTCGATACAAAACAGTGCATTCCTGCTAGTATACTTATCGATCGCCGCGGACATTCCAGCGCCGCTCCATGGTCCTTCCTTTCCTCCATCCTCTTTTGTCACATTTTAAGCAAGCTCTCTTTGTCTACTAGTTTTCGAGCCTGAACTGTATGTCATATCCTTCTGCGCCAGAGCAGCGCAGCCCAGCCATCGCAAATTGCTCAGGACCACGGGAAGGAACCATTTATTGGGCGGGTCTGCTCACGCTCGCTCTGCTTTCAGATCTGCCGAAGAATACTAGAAGCCACGATCGCTCCCGCAGAAGATGTGAACCGAGCCTGAGCTCGTAAGAACAAATGTGAGTATGGTCATAATATGCGAGTAGACAACTGTGCAATGTTACGATTCTATAGAGCTAGCTGCACACGAGCTTCCAAAGAATGCATTAAGCACCGGATTTTGCTTCGTCCCTACAGTACATTCCAAAGTAATAATTCACACTACTGTATTATACTTTTGCTAGGGGTACACGGCACTTGGAGGTATTGGAGAGGAGGAAAGGCAGAAGCACCCTCTAGTTTTTGTATTGTGTTCAGATAATGCCTTCGTGATAGAGCATGTCGGAGATGGAGTCGATTGAGTACGCGAAGAAATTGGCCTCTGCCAGACTCTTGAAGCGCAGTGCTAAGCTTCTTGTGCCTCCTTCGGACTCATAATGCAGAGTCAATTGAGCTGATTTCTTAAACTTCGGGAATGATTTGGGTGGATTGTTCTTAGTGTCTTCCACTTTCACGCTTTGGATCTTGGAGAACTCGACGCCACCGCGACCTTCGTTGATCGTGTCAAGGCTGTAAGATTGGTTTGGTTGGAAACGCTTCAGCCAGAGCAGCGCTTTGGGGTATTTGGAAAGCTCACCGGCGTGTTCGAGTTTCAGTTCCTCAGATGAAACCGTCAGGAATCTTGATTGCCACTTATTCCGACGGTTTAGTTTCAGAACCTCAATACCATCCAACAAGCAGACGTTCGAGAATTTCGTCAGAGTATGAATGTGTCTAGCAGAAATCTCGGAACAATCGTCCACGGATGGATTCTCCTCGACTTCCTCGACTTCATGCTTCACCTCGTTTAGCAAAACAAGCGATATCTGGCTCTCAAGACTGTCTGAATCTTCAGAAGTATAATCATCGATATCGGGTAGACTGTGGCTATCTCCTTCAGAGACATTTCGGTGGGCCTCTGGAGACATATTATTGACTTGCGTCTGTTCTAAGTCTGATAGAATGATGCTGGCTTCTTCCTTTGCTTTGGACGATAAGTCGGCCTGAGACTGATCTTCTCGGAAACCAAAGATGGTTTCTTTGCCAGGGATGTCTGATACGAATTGAATGCGGCGAACAGTTGGTTAGCACACTGAAGCAAAGAGTGATTGACCCGTACGAAACTTTTGTCCGGCTTACCTTTCGCCATGGACATCATGGATCCAGAAAAACTCTGCATGATTGCCATTCCCATTTTCATGATAACTGAGCCATCTAGAACGCTTCCAGTATCTGTTCCTGCAACAGAAGGGTCTGGCTCTATTGTAGACTTTTGGCTGGGAGATGCTAGCGGGGATCTTCCCACTGGATTGCTCCGGCTGGTGTCGATTCCAACTCCAAATGACATCTTCGTCTTCGGTGACAGCATTGTTTCAACTCCATATGATGCCTTCGTCCTCGGTGACAGCATTGGTTTGGCGGCAGTTTCAGATGCATGTTTCATGTCTGTCTTGTCACCAGTCTTTGTCGGCAATGCGTCTTTTGCTCCGGACTCTGTCCTCGGTTGTTGTTTCGATGCACTTTTGACCTTGCCATCGGTAGGCCTATTTGCAGGAGGGGGCTTGGTTGCCAGCTTTCCGGTAGGCGTGCTCGGAGCCTCTAAAGCCGGTTGGGCGCCATGGCCAACTGAGCGTGTTTTTTTCTTTTGCTGCGATGCAAGTCCCAATTTTATTGCTTCCGCCGTAGCTTTGTCGCCGACGCATTCCCGAACGAAAGCTTCATCGCTGATGCTTGGATCAAGGGTCATTTCTTCGTCGAGTTCGTCAATCAGAGCTATGCCTTCTTCATCTTGGGTGTAAGAGTACTGATAGTGCATTCCCATGTTACGCTCCCCAGCAAGGACTGAGGTCGTGATGTCCGAATTTACAGTTTTCACGAAATTGTCGGTTGATAGGATCCTTCCGTATTGATCATTCTTCTCGCCGGCCAAAACGGAGATAGTTATATCTGAGTTGACGGACCTCAAGGTACTCTTCTCGTCCAAGACCCTGCCATATCTATCATCACTTGACGTTTGCCGTGGAGGAGGTGGAGGCGGAGGTGGAGGAGTCGAATAGCGCTGTTCAGAATGTTCTTTTTCGAGCAGGATATCATCGATGCCGCTGAAGATGTCATCGTCGCACGGCAGATCCGATTCGTAGCTTTTTCGTTGTTCTAGTCCCGCGTTGTTCTCCTGGAGGCTTAAGGAGCGTAAATCCTGGTACTTGAACTGCGTTTGTTTTCCCGCCAGGTCACTGGAATAGTACCGTTGATGGATTGCAGGAGTTCGAGGTGTCTTCGAACCAACATCAACCTTGCTGAAGGTAAACGAAGTGCCCCCCGCAATCGTCAAGTGCTCGCTCGCGCGTTCCTCTTGCTCTGATTGTGTGGGCTTTGGTTTCGACGGTTCCGCATCTACAAGAGGCGTTTTCATGCCATCCGCCTTCCTATCCGAGAGGTGGCCTTTTTCAGGCACATTTTCGAGCTTTTCAGGCACTGTCTGTCGCTCAGAACCCTTCATTTTCTGTTCAGACTTCATGCTTCTTTCGGAGACATTCTTCTTTTCAGACCGTACGCTCTCTACTGGCAACGATTTCTGTACATCGCGTTTCTGTTGCGAGTCTTTGTCCTTCTTCCCATCCAGATCCAGGAAATTGCGGAAAATGTTGAAATTGTTCTTGCTATTCCTCGGGCCACGGAAGAGGTCAGCAAGACCAGGTGCTGTAGGCAGAGGATACGATTCCGTAGGCCTGATGTCACTAGATCTGGCATGTTCCATTTCCTTGCTCCTTTGAGTCTCTTCAACGTCTGTTTTCGTGGTTTTCAGGTTTTCTGTGACTGAGTTACTGGGTGATTGTGCTTCCTTTTCGACCGACCCAGCAACAGTTATCTCATCAACGAAGCCTATGCTCAACTTAGTGGAAGCGGCACTGGCGTGGTCGTCGAGAGCACTTTCAGCGGATCCGGCCGCAGTGAGAGTCTCTCCCAACAGAAGAGAGTCGCCGTCACGGGATACGTGCTCGGGCATCTCGCTTTCCATCTGGACTGGCTCGCCTGTGTCCGCATCATACTTGACTTCAATACCATCAGAGAGGGAACTGCCCCCATCAAGAATCTCCAGTGGCGGTTGATGCGTCGCTGAGCGACCATCGAAACTACCGGTACCTATATCCATTGACTGTAAAGGAGGATCTGGTTTCGTTGTCGCATTCGTTGCCTTCTTAGGCGATGCTGATTCTGCGGGACTGAATTCACGCACTGACGGCCAAACATCAGAAGAGGACTTGACTTCCAGACTCTCCTTCTGTGCCTGGGCAGCCGGTTTTGAGTCGCCTTCTTCGGAGCTGCTGCTGCTGCTGCTGCCCATTGGTAGCGTTAGGTCGGCAAGGGATTTCATCGTATCGGAATCTTCTTTCGTCGTTCGAACGCGTGGTTTCGTCGGGAAGTTTTCGGAGCTACCGCTTCCCATTGATAGAGAAAGGTCAGCAATTTCCTTCATTTCCGCATCGAGCTCATTGCATGCATGAAAACTCTCTATGAAACATCACAACGACGTTGAGACACCTAGCTAGCTAGCAAGCCGGTGGACAAAGCCATTCACAAGAAAGGAACTAACTTGACTCACCTTCTCTATTTGTCACAAATGCCTCGGTGGCGTTGTTGACACCTCCTTCCGACTTTTTGGACTTGCCCTTCTGTACATGTGCAGCTACGGGCAAACATAGCTCGTGTTAGTTTCGGTCGAGGCGCAAGATATGGTATTATTGAAGATCAGATCTTACCTTCTTTAGATTGGGAATATTTCCAATAGGCAAAAGCTATTGCTTTATTCTCCCCAAATATAGAATTGAGACTGGCAGAGTTAGGGCCCTCGGCTTCAACGGGTCTCTTCGATTTTTCCCCATCCATTTCTTGTTTGTCTATCTTTTCAGGCCTCATGATCGGACTTGTGTCTGCAATTGTGTCACCTCCTTTATCTACACTTTGGGTTACTGCTGCTGAGGCTTTTGTGGACGTGCTCTTTGGTTTCTTTCTCTTGATTGTTCCTTTGGTTTGTGAGCGAGCCGCAAATGCAGGGTGATGTCGCCGCCTTGCTGCCCTACGAGAAAAAATATCGCTTGGTAGGCCATCGACATTCTTGGATGTGCTAGACTCAGTGGACTTCGTCATGTCTGTTGACTCGGATGTCAAGCTCTCCTCTCCCATCGTGCTGCAGCAACTCAGATCAGGCCGCAAAGTGTCCGAAAAAGAATAGTTGACATCAGCGTCTTGGGGGTCAATTTCGTATTCTTCCTGTTTATGAAGTGATGTATCCCGCAAGTCTTGAGTCTCCTGAAGCGGTTTAGCGTCTGCTGGAGCCTGTTGCATGTTCTCTGTTCGATGTTGCGCAGTTTGCAGCTCCTCAAGCAGCGGTGTTGTATCCTCTTCTGCCACATTAGCTTCGACCCGTTGAGTCGCCGCCTCGTGTGCCACTGGCATCGATTGAGTCGCTGGTTTCTTTTGAGCTTGTTCGCTCTGGCGCCGTAGGATTGGAGATCCTTTTTTCTTCCGCTGAGCAGTTGAAAGAAGTGCCATGCGTTCTTTCTTGTTTGCTACGGCAGAGATTAGTGATACCTTTGGAGCTTTTCTTGTGGTATTACTGGGTTTTTCCGACACGCGCGACGTGCTTTCGACAACTGAGCTAGCATCAGTGCTTGAACCCTCTTCCGCATCTTTGCTGTGACCTGCACTGGTAGGCAGGCTTCGTGGCTTTGTCAGCAAGGGAGAATCGCTTTTGTTTGGCCTTCGTGACGTGGGAGGAGTCTGCGTTGGTATGCTTGGTGGCAGGTCTTCAACTTGTACAGCTACTTTTGTTGTTGTCGTTGTCGTCTTTGATGAAGACGTATTGCTCTCGCTTTCAGCAGAGGGCGATTCTCGAATCGAGTGTTTCGGGAATCCTGTCGAATCAGAAGATCCGTCAACCGTCATTGGTTGTCTATGGAGATACTTCTTAGCAAGCCGCGTATTTCTATACGACCTACTGACCATATGGAAAGGTTGATTTGACGCATCTTCGGCAGTTGCTGGATCTTCGGCGGTTGCTGGAACTGATGGCTTGTTCTTCACCTTCCGAGGAGAGCCCTCAAGACTCGACCTTGCTTCCTTGCTGTTGCTAGCAGCCATTCCAGTCTTCGAAACATCGAGAGTAGCACTCTTGACAGCTTTCTCCATCGCATTCGACTGGGTGAGGCTTTCATCGAGTACGATGCCATCAGGGTCTCGTTTTGCGCTGGTACTCGTGTCAGTTCCCTTGGCTGAGTTCTCGTGAGGAACTGTATCTAAGCATATTGTTTTTTTGTTTGCCCGTTGTTTCAGAAGGTGCTGAAGGGGTGTGCTTCGTAGCTTTCCGCGTTTTGAAGAGTTTACACTTCGGGAAAGCTTCAGAGCATGAGACGCAACGTTTCTGAGCTCTTCGTTGCTGAGACTCGACTGGTCTGACCCCCCTGAGCAAACGCTGCCCTCTTTTTCGTCTTGTGGAGCAGTCGAGGCAGCGTTGGGGCTTTGTTGTATTGCGGCTCCAGGACGATTTCGGCCTTTAGGCGTTGCCATCAGTGCTGGAGTGTACGCCCTCATGGTTTTCAGTCTTGCCGCCCTGGAGAGCCGCGGGGACGGTTTCGAAACTAGAGAAGAGCCTGCACTACTAGAAGCGACACAAGATGAAATCAAGTTGGAATCAGCTGTTGTGCATGTATCTTTCTTGGTTTCACTCTCTCCTACATCAACTCTCAACAGGCTTGCTTTGCCTTTTCTCTCAGGCCTTTGAGTTGGTTCATCTGACGACGAAGAATGAGTTTCGCTCGAACCATTTGCCTTTGCTGCTTGGAGTTGATGCTTTCTCGCGTGATGGACTTTTTGCTTGAGAACTTGCATCTCTTGGAGGGATCGTTCTTTGGTCTTTTGCTTTGGATTTGTAGAACATGACAGTCGTTCACCACTCGGGTCTTGCTCCAGCCCATCGAAGATATCATCGTTTTCAAGAAACTTTGCATGCTGCATTTGCTCCGTTAGGAAATCACCTTCAGGTTCTGTCGAGGGCTTTTTAGGCTTGGAAGCAGAATGTACGGTTATCAGCTCTCCTTCAGGGTCTGGAATGGCCTTTTCTTCCATTTTACTGTATTCAGCCACTAGCAAATCGGTTATTCTCATTCGCGCCTGATTGTCAGTGGCGCGATCTCCTTCAGGTTCTTCTCGTCGCTCTTCGTTTGACATGGCTTCTTCTTCCAAGATCTTCTGGAACACGTCTTTGCTGCTGATGGTTGATTCTGCCGAGTCTCCACTAGGACACAGTCCCTTCATGATAGCTTCAAGTTCTTCCTCTTCGCTAGTTTCATCAGTGCAATCTTTGAGTTGCCGAGCCTCCTTGTGAAAAGCGCTACTCTTGCGAGGAGAAGTAATGATAGTCTTTATTGGAACATCGGCTTCTTCGTCACACACTTGCTGTTGCTGCGCTTCCTTCTTCAAAGCAGAGCTACTCTTTCGAGGAGATGTGATAACGGTCTTAACTGGAACATCATCTTCCCCATCACTGACAGCATCGGCAGTATCTGTAGAAACTTGCAGGTTTTCAGCGGTAGGCAAGGTGGATTCTTCAAAGGTATCTACCCCAATAGCGGGGGTGGGGGTTGATGCAGATCTTGATCTTTCCAAGGCGGTTCGCCAAAGTGACGACTTACCAGAAGTTGCACTTTTTGGTGTCGAATCTTTCTTGCGGTGCCCCAATTCTGGTGGCAACACAAACTCAGCCATGGTGGGCGAGTCATTCGCGGGCGGAGGCAACAAACAAGAAGAAGTGTTTGAAGGGGCTTGTGATGAAGTGGCGGATTCTTTTCCAACAGAATTTTGAGCGGATTCCTTTCCAAAGGAATTCTGAGTTGCTTGGCCACCACCCAATTCGCCACAATCCTTATCAGAGAAAAAGACTTCGTTTGATGTCTCTTCAGGCAGAGGTTCGTCGTCATTGTTGAACTCGTTCACTTTAGCTTCGACAGCTTCATCGCGTTCCTTTTCCTTTCTTTGTTTTCGCTGTCTCCTGAGACTCAAAGGAGAGAGATACTCTTTGCTACCTCCCAATATCTTTTTCCGGTTCAGCTGCCATTCTGGCTTATACTTTGGGGACATTTTGAACAATCTCGCCTGCTTCAAGAGCGGGCTGCCGGTAGCGCTATCATCGGCATCCGCAGAAGGTGTATCGCTCAATTCTTGATATTTCAGTTGAAGATTGGCAGGTTTTGTCTTGCTAGCTGTGCTCTGTACAGGAGAAGTTCTAGGGCTCATGCGAAGTCTGGAGGTTATTGGCGTGTTTGGTTGCTTTCGTGGACTTAGGGGCTGCCTGGGGCTATGTGAAGCCGGCGCCTCCTTGCTATCAGATTCATTTGGATCATCATCATCAGCAGTGTCCACCAAGGTTGTTAAGGACATCTCAGGTTTACTTTTGGTAACTTGACGCGATCTGGGGCTCTTGGGTGGCACTGTAGACACGATCGACCGTGCAAATGCTCCCTTCAGATCGGGTTTCTTCTTTGCAGAACCGGAATCGTCATCGCAGTCTTTGTCAGGCTCCTCAATTGTAACAGTCTTCTTTGACTTGGAAGCTTCTTTCTTGCTGTTATTCTCTTGGCAGCTGGACTCATCACTGCTCAGCTCGTCATCTTCCACCTTGTCTGCTTTTATTCTATTGTAGCGGTGGTTTGGCGACATTCGTGCTAGTCGTTCTCGCGGGGACAAGCGATGTCGTGGTGACGACTTGGGCCGACCACTCTCAAACAGTTGTACCCGATTCTTCACCAAGAGACTCGAAACCATCTTGACTACTTTTAGCTATCTTCCCATCCAGTTATCTATTCTACAACTATTTGATGATTCGGTTCGATTCGAACGTACTGTATCATACAATGTATTTTCGCATTAGTTTTGCAGCGATGATGATGGTTGTCCTCGCGAGAATCCAAGGTCCCAAAAATAAAGAGTGATCGTTGTCCGGAAGCTTAGGTCTTCTGGCTTGTGCTTCATGCCTGCGTTTTGTACTCTTTCCGGGATAGGTAACTTCTTAGTTACCGTTGACCGAGATCAAGTGTATTCGCTGTCACACCACCTCACCCCGCTCTCAACTCGCAACATTCACTTTGCAGACTGGTACGAGTGCCACCGGTACCATCGGCGTGGGACATCGGCACCTCGACAGAACAGTGACCCATCAGCCAAAACAAAATCGTAAATTTTTCATTTTCCATGCCACCCCATGATCGCCAGGATCTGGGTAGCCACGCTTAATAAAAATTTTCCCTACTCAGATACGTACCCCCTGATAACCCATTATCGTACAGTTTATTAACCATAGCTACCCTGACAATGGTCACAATGGTCACCATGGTCACCATTGTCAGGGTAGCTATCCACAATAGACCTACTCAGACACTACAGTTTATCAACCGTACGTTGGTAACGGTGATCAGGAGGTCCCATTATCTGGGAAGCTATGCATAATAAACCCACTCAGATAGCTCTCAGATACACCCTGATACACCATTATCATACAGTTTATACCTGGTAGCTACAGGTACCCTGATAAAATGATGATCAAGAGGTACACTGTAGCATGGAAAATGATGTTTTTTTGACCATTTCAAGCAAGTTTAAAATAAAAAACATAATTTTAAAAATTGATTTTGAATTTTCGTCAAAAAATGGAGGCGTCCACAGAGGTGACGGGTGAAGGAGCTCAACCCAAGCTAAGCAAGTACAGCTGCTGGACAGTAAAAGGCACCCTTCCATTCCATGCCGAAACTCAACTATGCATCTGGTACCGTACGATAATAGCTACTAGTACCGAACAGTTTCATTAGCTAGTAGCAAGTATGGCAGATGATCGTAGAAACAAAAAGTTTCCAAACTTACGAAGAAAGAAACAGGCAACCAAAAAGAATACTGGATGTGATTGAAGAATCATTCCACACGTACTCGTTGTTTAACAACTAGTCTTCCTTTTCTTCCTTCTCATCTTCTTTGCTCTCTTGAGTCGTTCGTTTTTGTCGAGCCACAATGTTCAGCTTATGATTGCAATAGTACCACTTTCGATTCCGCTTGTCAAAGAGTTGCATATTGGGCACGTCCAACGTCCCCTCCCGCAAAGGATTGAACCGCAATTGCGCCTCTACCGAATGATGTCCCTTGATTTCACCCAACAGCAAGGCAGCATCAATCGCTAACAAGTCCTGATCGCGGTCCAGTCGAAAGACGGGATTGTCGGCATCGGCAATCAATCCCCAGACTCCAAAGGTGTACCCATTCACTTCGCTCACGACGGCTGTATTGGGCACGCTGGAACGTTGCGACTGCTGCTGCTGTTGTACGTATGGGATAGAATCCCGGTTCGATCCTGCTCCCGCGTGATGGCTACTGACATTTAAATTGTTCGTCGTGGGCTGCGCCAGGACCGCCGATGTGGAGGACGACGAAGTGGTTGTCATTGTCCCGGTGGAGCTGGCCTGCTTATCACTGTCCTTGGCAACTAGCAACATCATGTCGCGGGCTTCGGCACTGAGATTCTTGACCCGCAAAAAGATGGTGAATGGCTCGCCCACATAAAAGTCCTTGTTTTGCAATTGCATATCAATTCGAAAGGCATCGGAAGGTTCCTGGGCCAATCGTCCGGTCGTCCATTGCGCATCTGCCGAGGAGATGGTCGTGGGATTCATGCTGGCCGCCGTTTCGGCACCTTCCTCTTCTGCCTTGGTGGGATGTCCCACCACCGACGTGACACTGATGGGACTCTTGAAGGTACGACTTCTCATGTGTTCCATGGCATCAATGGTCAGGATGGTCGCAAAGGCTCCTTGCGGATACAACGTCAAGGGCAATTTGGGCTGTGTCTGAGGCGCATATCCCCACTGGACACATTTACTCATATCCGCCACGGTGTGGGTTGGGGTATACATCCCTTGCGGGGGTGCTCCGGGGGGAGCCGGTAGCTCCAAACGGGAATGTCCCGGATGCAAGGCAATATTCGTCACCGTCACTGGTTCTCCGTGAGTGTTGGGATGCCTCATGACCAGACTGACCAACGTTCTTCCCGTGGTGGGTCCTGTGACGGAAGTAACGTCAATGGCCAAGGCATCCGTCAAGATGACCTCGAGGATAAAGGGATCCAATTTGGTTTGTTTGACTTTGGAGGCTGTGAGCGTGGTTTGTAGAGTAAAATCGGGGAATCCTTCATAGCTCATTCTAGATTGTTGGGAAGGAGGATCGCGGGGTTGTTCGGATAAGATGGCCACGACTTGTAAGCGCGTCTTGATCATGAGGGTATCATGCTGTGCGGCACGAACGATAATTTGTGTTTCAAATACAATCGACGTGCCTTCAATGCGAGAAGATAGCACCGTGATTCCTTCCACAATGGCTCGATGCTGGTTGTTGTTTGTGGGCATTTGTGAGACTGCTGCGACGTGCTGCCATTTCCTCGTCGTCGGAGCCTTGGGATCCAGCCGAGTAAATGGAATGCAAAGAGTTATCCAAGTGATGATCGACCACTGGCATGGCCACAGTGGTGACCTCAAACCCTAGCGAGGTCTTGGAATCACCATGGTTACCAAAGGGACCTCCTCCGCCAGTATCTTCTCCCACATTGGAAGGAATTGGATGAATACAATCATTGGATAAAAAGTCATCCAGTGCCTCTTTGGATGGCAAGGTGAACTTGAGGGGGAGTGACATTCGGGAACGGCCAGAGGCATCCAAATAGAAGGACGTTGCCGCATACATAGGTTTCTTGTTCTCACCACCATCTGATGCAAAGGATCCATCAAAATCAAACTCGGACTTTTCAGCTATCACGATGGAGCTCTCCTCTCCAATCACTGGCTCCAAGTCGCAGTCGTTGAAGTAGTGGATGGGATCTGGCATGATCACAACGAATTCACGATGGGTAGCCTAAATAAAGATATCAACTTTCACTGTCGTTAAATCAAGCGCTGTCTGTAGCTATATCTGGAATGTGATACAGCAACAAATCAACAACAAGGAGATGGGTAGGGAGCACTACTGCCAACGGTAACGATACAATAGATCAGACAGCCACAGCAGGTTGTTGTCGTTGGATTGGATGTTGGATGCAGCCCGTTGGTGCGAAGTCCACCAGCCTTATCTTTTTTCGGAGAGCGCGATTTGGACCGGGGGTCAATCCCTCACCCGCAAGAAACTTACAGCCGTGCCAGTAGCCTTTCCTTGGACGATGCCACCAAAGCTTTTGCGGCAATACAGCTCTGATGAGATGCTTCTGCTACCATAAATTTGTACCGTAAAGGTGTACTAGCACCGGTACCCTACTATCCATAGCTCCAGCTATCTAATGGATTTTTGTGTGTTGGGGTTATCCTCTGCAGTTTGCGAGGATAGTACAGTAACCCAGCTTTCCCTCCCAGACTTTTTGTGTGTGTTCCACACAACCAAACATCTATCATACCTGAGGATGAATGAGAGAGAGAGAGACCCCGAGCATGAATCGGAGAGTGCAGAAGGGTCAGGACACTTTGAAGCCCATGAGGCTTTGTATCCTTGCTAACAATCGATCACAAGGCTTTGTTGGGGAAGGGTACAGCTCCAATCATCTAGCTAGCTTGAGATTTTCCTAATGATGTATTGTAGTCGCGATGTGTGCATCGCCCCCTAACTAATAGCCACAGTACATAGTTACTAGAACTTTCTTTTTACTTCTTGGTGTTGCCTGCGTTCTTCTTCTTGGTGTGTTGTTCATTGCAAGGATACCCCCTCGTGGAAGGTACTTTTTGCGGAAACGACTGCGCAGCAGATGACTTGTATAGTCAGGGGCCACGCGAGACACTCGTTCTCCAAGCTTGGGCTTGACGTTGACAAACGCGCCACATTCTGGAACTTCTTCCTCCCAGCTACAACTGCTGGTGGATTCGCTGTCTTCTGTGCAAAAGCTACCGCTACTCTCTGAACCCGAGTTGCTCCTGTCGTCGTCTTCACTCCTAGTGGATGATTCTTCCTCCGAAAAGGACGACGAATATCGGTCTCGAGTTGTTCTACTTTGAGACACTGAGGACGAGGAAGACGAACCGTCATCGTCCAAAATCGCACTGACACCAGCGCTCTCTACATCGTCATCATCCGCGTCCAGGATCTCGCTACACCAGTACTCTCGATATCATCATCCACACTCATAGAAGCGACTCCTGATCTTTGTCCCGAACCTGAACCAGAGCTCGTGCTTGTGCCGGTACTGGTCTCTGTTCCGTTGCCATGGAGGACATGATCTATGGTGCTGCTGTTGTAGGTTTTGGCTTCAGTTGTGGACTGGGACGACGTCAAAACTGACGACCGAAACGTCACAGAGTGTGTTCGTTCGGATCTGTTTGTACTTGCAAATCGAGACGTGGTTTCATCGTCGCAGCTCTGAGAAGTTGACTCCTCTGAACTTACGGACATTGATGCAGTTCTGTTAACCTCATCATCCTTCCAGGATTTGGATGCCTTGCTGAGCACCTCGGTCCAATCGTCCATTTCTTCGCTGGCCGATTGCAAAGACGGTTCAGTTGGGATTGGCATGGAGCTTGGACGCGCTGGCTTGTACTTGATCTTATCGTTGCCTCGTTTCCGCCTGAGGTTGCCTGTGAATCGAATCGAGAAAGATGGAATTGTTAGATACCGTGACTGAGAACAAATCAAGACATGTCATTTGCTGTATGACACGTACCGAACCAATTATGCGTCAGGCTTATGCTTTGTTCGTCTAGAAAATGTTGCAGTACATCTCGAGATTCCCAAGGCGAAACATCTCGTGAATCAAAGACACGCAAAGCTGATGCAGTATCGATCAGTGAGTACTGATCCACACCCAAATACCCTGCACTGTTTTTGCAGCGCTCCCTATACGGCAGCTGCCATGGTCTGGGATTGGATGTGTTTGCCTCGGGGACATGTCGCATCAGGTCCATTACCTCTTGACGCTTGCGACTTTCTTTGGTTCTCTCTATCATGTTTTGCACGGCTTTGGCACTTTGAAGGCGATTTGGGGGGTGGACAAAGAGAAGCCCGTTCAATTCGTCTGCCACAGCTTGCAGAGCCAGCGTTTGACACGCAAAGAAAGGACCCCTTTTTACTAGTGCTTTGGCGCTGCTTTCAGGCTGCCACAGTGCAATGTTTTTCTTTCGCTTCCATTCATCCAACTCGAGTCCGTAGCCGTACATGGTTGTTTTGCCACTCTGAGTTGAGGATAGATCCCAATCACTGCTGCTGGAAACACCGCTTTTAGATCGCTGAGAGCTGCTCATATCGCCGCTTCTCGATCCTTTTCCTGCACCCCCCATGTTTACTATTCCGCTATCGTCGAGGCTCACATTGGCAGGGATACTTAGGTCATTCCTTTCCGTGGAAGCACCGCCCACCAATAAGGATTGAAAGGCGTCTAACTCGGCTTCAAAGGTATCAGGAACGACATCCGAAGCTGCGTCAGAGAATCCCATGGGATTGTATCGATTGAAGGCGCTATCCTCAGACATGTTTTGCGACTCGCCGTCATCATCGACCAAGTGTTCATTTGCGGAATACATTTCTGCGTATCCAAAGCATGGTTAAAACTCTTGTTGACGTATCCCACCATCCGAGGTCAACGTTCTACCTCCTCTGCTAAAGAATCTTTCCTCCACAAAGCTACCTATAGCTTCAGTGTTAAGCCGAGGGAATGTCCGCCTTCCTTGAGCATCTCCCACTATCTCAACGACGAGAGGAAAGAAATCTATGCCCATAGATGTTCAACTCGTGTTGCCTGATTCCTCTGTTACGAACTTCTTCCTCGCTTAAAGCTATAGTTGCGCGTACAACTTCTCTTTGTCTATGCTCCCTTGGTTGTCCTATGCCTGCTCTTTGGGTTACTTGTGTCTGCTTGCTGTGTCTCGAGTCTCTCTCTCGCGCGCTATACTGACTCAATCTAACTCCGCTCTTTACAATCTTAGGCGGTCTCCTAGGGACTCTGTTTGCAATCATAGCCTCATTGTATGACTCTATAGCATACAACGGCACGCGTTACAATCTCTATCTTCTCTTTCTTTTCCC